CTGCCAGTCCGAAACGGCACCTGAACAGACAAAAATAAGACAGCACACACACACAAAAAAAGGGTAAGTAAAATAAAACCTATCTACCTAGTGTGCTGCCTAGGGCCTGGAGGGCGGCCGTGGGCCTCGAGGGCGCGTGCTGGATGGTACGTGGTCTGGGGGCCCCTCAGCAACCGTCGGGCCCTTCGAATGGGACCCGTGTGCAGGTGCAGCATGTAACATCCAGCCAGAGCTCCAATGTCACATACTGTAACGGTGCAGACTAGAACAAGATAGCGTAGCGGAAGACTTAGATACCAATGATCCGAACAATCAATATTGCAATGCAGCCCCRAACATACATCATCATCATCATTCCATTGTGTGAAGGGGTCTGGCGCTCACACAGGAAGAATGCGCCAGCCCCAACCATACACAGACGAAGAAGAGGGGGGTTAGACGAAGAAGAGGGGAAGATGGGAATGTCGTCAACACCAAGTCTTTGGCACAGGCCCAAATAGTCCCTCGTCAAAATGTCTGAATCCCACTGTCGAGTCTGGATCCAATGTCGTCAAGTCTCAAGTCACAACTCTCTCTCTCTGTCGTAGTCCGCTGATACTGAGAAGTCAGGTGGTGAGAGGGGAAGAAGAGATGGTGGACTTAGAAGAGGAAGAAGAAGAACTCTCTCTCTCTCTCTCTCTCAGTCCGGTACTAACCTGTGAAGTTGGCGCCTTGATGCAGGTTCCTTGAAGATGGAGCTGGAGCTATGGCGCCACAGGTAAGTCTCACTGGCCTCCGCCAGCCATCTCTCCCAACACTACTACTACCACCTACTAGCGCCCAGCGCTGAAGACTACTGCTATGGCTACTAGCGCCCAGCACTGAAGACTACTGCTATGGCTACTAGCGCCCAGCGCTGAAGACTACTGCTAGCGCTAAGCTACTCCTGCAGCGCTCCTCCTGAGTGCTCCGAATCCTGAAGACTACTCCTGCCTTCTGTCCAACTACCTACCCATGAAGTGCATGGGAACTCCCTATGTACTTCTCGGCCTGCCTCCTGACTGCAGGGCGAGGCAGTCCAGGAGGCTGCTCTTGCCAATGCCGAAGGGAGTCAGGGGCTGCCGCTGCAGCTCCTGCTTGAGGCTGTCGTGGGGAACAGACCAGAAATAGCCTGTTCCCGAAACCCTGGTTTTGTGCCTGAGTGTTAGGGCAGGTCGATCTTATGAGGGCCCGAAAGTGGCCCTCCGTTTCAGGCTGAAAAGCCTCAGGGCTCAAAAGCCCTGTTTTAGGCTGAAACGACATAGGGCATGCAGGCCCTCGTTTTCAGTCTTTCAGGCTGAAACGACACGGGGCCTGTAAGCCCTTATTTCTAGGCTTTTAGGCTGAGAATGTGGGACGGGCCCTGCAGGCCCGTGTGGCTACGCAGTATGCCACATCCAACCAGTGCGTCGCCAAACTTGCACACCGACAATGAGGAGCAACTGGCTCGTCCTGTAGATATTGCCCGTACACTGCGTACAGGCCCTAGACTCAGACTGGTCGGACTGGTACCAGCCTAGACCTCGCCTACAACTACTGGGTCTTCTTCTGCTTGGCCTAGCGTGGCATACTCAGTACCACACGGCCCAGCAGGCCCCGGTCGTTTCAGCCTGAAACTGAAAAACGAGGGCCTGCAGGCCCTATTCTGTTTTCAGCCTATTTCTTGGCCCTTTCAGGCCCATAGGTTTTTCAGCCTGAAACGGAGGGCCATTTTCAGGCCCTCATTGTGTTCGACCTACCCTTAGACTCGGGCACAAAAACAGGGTTTCAGGAACAGGCTATTTCTGGCCTGTTCCCCACGACAGCTCTAGCAGGAGCTGCAACGGCAGCCCCTGCCTCCCTTCGGCATTGGCAAGAACAGCCTCCTGGACTGCCTCGCCCGCAGTCAGGAGGCACCCGAGTAGTACATAGGAAGTTCCCATGCACGTCACGGGTAGGTAGTTGGACAGTAGGACGAGTAGTCTTCAGGATTCAGCCGCAGCACTAAGGAGGAGCGCTGGCAGTAGTGGCTAGCGCTAGCAGTAGTCTTCAGCGCTGGGCGCTCATAGCTGTAGGAGTAGTCTTCAACGCAGGGCGCTTATAGCTGGTTGTGGTAGCGTTGGAGAGAGATGGCTGGCGGAGGCCAGCGGTACTTACCTGTGGCGCCATAGCTCCACCTCCATCTTCGAGGTACCTGCATCAAGGCGCCAACTTCACAGGTTAGTACTGGACAGAGAGAGAGAGAGAGTTCTTCTTCTTTCTCTTCCAAGTCCACCATCTCCTCTCACCCTCTCACCACCTGACTCCTCGGGATCAGCAGACTACGACAGAGAGAGAGAGAGAATTGTGACTTGAGACTTGACGACATTGGATCCAGACTCGACATTTGGGATTCAGACATTTTGACGAGGGACTATTTGGGCCTGTGCCGAAGACTTGGTGTTGACGACATTCCCATTTTCCCCTCCTCTTCGTCTAACCCCCTTCTTCTTCGTCTGTGTATGGTTGGGGCTGGCGCAGTCTTCCTGTGTGAAGCGCCAGAGCCCTTTCACACCATGGAACGATGATGATGACGTATGTTCAGGGCTGCATTGCGATATTGATTGTTCGGATCATTGGTATCTAAGTCTTCCGCTACGCTATCTTGTACTTTGTATTGAGAGGTCGGTTTTTGTTCTGGTCTGCACAGTTACAGTATGCAACACTAAGGGTCCGTAGGTGTACGGCCTGTTTTCGTTTCAGCCTAAAAGCCTGAAAACAAGGGCCTACAGGCCCTGTGTCGTTTCAGCCTGAAAGCCTGAAAACAAGGGCCTACGGGCCCCGAGTCTTTTCAGCCTGAAACGGAGGGCCATTTTCAGGCCCTCATAAGATCGACCTGCCCTGAAACTTAGGCACCAGACTAGGGTTTTAGCACAGGCCATTTTGGGCCTGTTTTCAAGACGACCTTTTTTTAACTTCAAAGCCAGGGTCTGGCACGTTTTGGCATTGGCAAGAGCAGCCTCCTGGACGGGCCAGCACTATATAAGACTGGCCCGCCGTACTCGCTGCAGGCAGTCAGGAGGCAGTTCATAGGAACTTCCCAGGCACTTCACGTGCAGG